TCATAATATTTTGTATCCGTTCGGGCTCATTCTCATGAGGGCTACTTCCCATTTTAACTAATATTTTACCCGTTAGTGTAACTAGCTCGATCTATGAGAATTGTGTCTTATTTTCTTTCCAGTTTAGACTTCTGATTCGGATAACAAATGAGAAGCAGATGCTTATAAACATGCATATCTACATTTTAACAACTGTCTTTCTAATGAAGGAAATCCAAATTCAGTTGAAAGAAATTGTACTTGATCCATGATACTTTATTCCAAAGCTAAAGGATTTGATAATCCATTCTTCGTAAAGAGGAAATATCTCCAATGTGCATCTTCTGCCAACGTAAGTTTTTAACAGAAACTTTTCTGTACTTGTATTAAGTATTAGATTTTGGAGTTTGAGTTCTAATAAAGATATCGAAAAAATCCCAAAGGATATATAATTTGAATGTAAAAATTTTACAAAAAAATAACTCTTTATTTATATCTTTATGTTTATAACATACACATTTCTGTACATGTATTAAGTATTACATATTTGTTGCGAATTTACAGTTTTAAATGGAGGTATGTTTCAAATTTCAAGTATTCTGTATTAAATATTAGACATTTACAGTTTGAGTTCTAATTAAGATATCAAAAAAAGTTTCCATATTCAATTATTTGAATTTTTATAGCAAACCATTCGTGTCGTATATCGTTAAAGAGAGAATTCCGAATACATTCTAATAATGTAAACCACATTGATGTAGGATAAATACATTTGATGTTAGGACTGGAGTTTTTTTCAAAAAAGGGACAGGTGTACCATTTTGGGTGGTTGATTTTAAACGTGAAAAATATCAATTTTCAAAATTTTCAAAAAATTCAAACGGGCATTGAAAAAATTAATAGGTTTTGATAGACACCAAAATCAAATAAATCGGATAATAAATGGCGAACTTATTAAATTTTAACGAAAATGCACCACTCTCAGGAAACGGTGAATGCGTCACTTCCGGTTTGAACAATCAAACAATTTATAATTGTTTACTTCATACTGTAATTTCACATGTTATTCATTGGAATATCCAGACGCTAATCGTCATTGAAGTGCGATATTAACTTTGCTGATCAAGCGTCATTTAATCACGTGACACACACTCTTCTTTTACATGGCCGATTTTCATAAATACTACATTTTTTTCAGTATATTCCTGCAAGAATTATCTGAGCGAAATTGAAAAATGAACACAAAGCAAATCAGAAATAAAGATGAAGATTTAGAATTGCAGTGAAAATATTTTTGTGTTGCTCAGAAATTGGTGTAAAATTGTAATTTTCCTGAAAAATCGACTTGGAAACGCACGCCGGTAAAAATTATTTGAAAATATTGTTAAATAGCGAATTCAATTTAACATTTAATGACGTTGGCATGTTATGGTGTGAAATTTTAAAGATTCTTATACGTCAATGTAGTGTTTTTGTCATTTTAGACTTGCAATCGAACTATGAGTACTATTTCTAATGCAGCAGACGATAACTTGCGTGTCCTACTTCACTAGCGCGCCACCTAATGACTGGCCTAGTAATGCCGATACCTCATTGATCGCTGGCCCTTTTAATCGTGTTCGCCCTAGGTCTATTAAACGGGCAATTTCCCGATTTGAACGTTTCGCTTATCCGATAAAATGCTTTGTCAGTAGAAATGTGCCCATCTCCTACACTGTAAATAGGTTTTACAATCTTCCTATCTTGACGTCCTCGATACAAACCTGGTATGTAAACATGCCCACAGCATGATCACGAGAAAGTATTCGTTCGGCATTCCCCAGCAGGTTAGCTAAAGCTTAGCATCAACGTAAGCATTTAAATAGACAAATTTTGTAAGAATTGAAGCATCAAAATAACTAGAAATCAACCTTACCTTGGGCAAAGCTTCAGTCAAAATTGCAAGCGTGTAAAGCGTGATGGTAGTGTATGAGAGTAATGCTAAAGGATAACACTTACTGCTATCTGACTAACTGGGTCTATTAAAAGTTGCATATAGAATAATAATGTATACATGTATGCATACTCAGGTATGAATCCGATATTTATATTATCAGTAACATAACTGAACGCCTGCTTAAAATATGCTTCAATTTTACTTCGTCATATCTGCTGAAATTTACACCTTGACCTGGGATACTTTTACCCCTTGATATCATTGGTTTCATCGATACCAAATTGTTTTTGGTTATTGGTGACCCTGACCTCTCGGTTGAACGTTTCTGTATTTGTGTTTTTTGAACATTTTCTTCACTCAAATTTTGTTTTTAGTCCTTCTTTTTGATTATCGCAGTTGATATTGATATTTCATGTACAATGCGTCTTAAGAGTTTCGAACACGACTGGTTTTGTCCACATAACATTTCTTTCGAGAAGTTCAAATAATAATATGCAACTGGCTCGATCTACGAGAATTGGGTCTTATTGTCTTTCTCGTTGTAGATGCTTATAAACATGTTGCAAATCTACATTTTATCTACACTCTTTATAATGAAGCAATTCCAAATTCAGTTGAAAGAAATTGCACTTGATCCATGGTACTTTATCCAAAAGCTTAAGGATTTGATAATCCTTTCTACAGTCTTTACACTTGATCTGTACTTGATCCATGGTACTTGATCCATAGTAATATATTCAACAAAGTAAGAACGCTTAATGACAATCCATTTTACTTAAATTTACTTATTCTGTATTGAATATTAGACATTTGTAGTTTGATTTCGGGAAGGGAAAAATTTGAGAAAAAATAAAAATAAATAAATGATAAATTAGGGATAAAAACAAAAGACACCGTGGTCAAACAGTTTTGTTATCAATGTTGTATAACATGATAACACCATTTTCCCATGTCACATAACGTTAAAGAGAGAATTACGAATACATTCTAATAATGTAAACCACATTGATGTGGGATGAGTACATTTGATGTAAGGACTGGAGTTTGAAATTTGTTTTCAAAATATTCAAATTCATTTAAAAAAAAAAGAGAAAGGCCATTCCTTTACCTGATTTCAAAATCTGATCTCAGCATTGAAAATGATAGTCATCTTTAAAATGACCGCCCTATTAAAAAAAAAATTAGTTGACTTACGCCTTTTTTTCATGAATGATTTGGGATAAAAAATTGACCCACTAATAACACAAGTCTTGATATGAAGCATTTTCCACTAATTACAATACATTTACATTTAATATATCATACAGCGATGTTGTTCGACATTTAATGTGGATATTCTGGATGAGCTTTACAACTGAAAAACAAAAACATGATTCATTTATAGATACCACTCTCTCTTAAAAATAATAATATAAAAAACTAAATTTTTACTGTGAAAGAGAATAATCAAAAAAAATTCCTTACCTTTCTACTTTAAATAGTTGTAAACTTTTGTTCAAACTTTCTATCTGTTTTACATCAGCTGGGCTTAATTCGAAATCAAAAATCTACAATCAACAATAAATATATTAACAAGAGTATTCACAATTCAATCGGCTCTCCAGTCCTCTTAAACTTGAAGGAGGGTTGGTGAGTGACTGTTTACTATAGAAGATAACATCTAATATTGGAACTGGTTGAAACAAGTCCATGGTCCCTAAGGGGCCTCACCGACAGAAAAAGAAATGGGCCCCACCTTCGTAAGTCAACAGGCCCATTCTATAGTTGAGCTAGTGGTAACTTGTGGGTTGGTGAGTATCTATATCTTGGAAAGTTAGCTTCAAAATAGTGATCTTACAATAATTATGTGTTGATACAAAATCACAAAATGAATGGATATTTTACCTCACTGTTTTCTTTGATCCTTTTAGGGTTCACACTCTTTGGAATAACAAGTATACCTCTCTGAACCATCTGTCTCAGTAAGATCTATAACAATATATATTATTCAACTGAAGTTAATGTCAGGGATACAGTAATCTTAATAATTAATTTAATGGCCGTATATATCTAAATAGCCTCTTTTACTATTTTCTAACATTATATAATAATCAAAGATAGATTCCAACAACAGCGCATTTATTATTGTGCCTGGAAAGGAATGGCGATCCAAGAAAACCCAGAGAGAGGTATCATATGTCCGAAAGAGTAGAATATTATAGTTCAGATTATAGTTACCTGTCCAGCTGACTTTTTGTATTTCTCAGCCAATTTTTTAATGACTGGATCTTGTAATAAAATTGGGTGTTTGTCATCAACACTGGAATATAAAAACGGGTTTACCTTGAGGTAAAAATAATAAATGGCTACACACTGTAATAGTTATTAACTGCACAAAACTTGCCATAAGTTAGGAAACATACATTATTACTATACTCACATATAAGCTGGTCGACCAGGAGATGCAAGAGTTGCGTATGACGTAAGTGTAATTTTGTGCTTTTTACAGACTGTGTATAGTTCATCTTGTGGAAAATAGGCGTGGCACTCGACCTGAAAAACAATCCGTTATAATGCGATTTGCTTTATATATTCCGATTGAGCAAAGTAAATCTATGGGAGTATTAAAGTAGAGTAATGATATTTGTGCACAAGATTAATATTACTGATTCTTCTTTCACCAAGCATGTAATAAACATAGTTAATATCACCTGATTGGTTACTGGTTTAATTTTAGCTTTCTGTACCAGTCTTTCGATCTGTTTAGGACCATAGTTAGATACACCTATAGATTTACATTTACCAGTAGCAACCAGTTTCTCCATATCCTAAAATATAATAGTATGGAATATTTAAATACAATATCTTAAATATTAAAAGCCGTGTCGATTCTAGTTAACTCTGGATCTTTTGATCAGTAATTAACAGGTGAAATTTTAATATTTTAATTACAAGGAATATGTTGTGAGACGCCCTCGGTAACAAATAAGAATAGGGACTGTCGTGATTCAACCTCATACATTGTTTTTGCCTCTTTTGTTTCCAGTTTCCGAATACTGTCTATATCTTTATAGTATTATATGAAAACTAACTTACCGCCCATGATGTTTCAATGGGAATATTTTTGATGGCGGGTGAACCATCAGCTTTTGTTGGAAAAAGACCACTAGAACCAGTATCCTGTAAGATAATGGATATGTATTAAAATCAAAATGAAAATTCTAGTCTTCTGACAACTGAACTATTTCTCCTGTTCCCTGATGATGTTTCCCTGGTAATGATCTTCAACAACTAAACTATTTTTAAACCAATTTGTAAACTGAACGTGTTTGTGTGGCTACGATTTCTTATCTAGAGGAGATAATTTAACTTTGATACACTCACCTCAAATGCCATTGGGTTGTGACACAAAAATAGGTCAATATATCCCAAATTTAGATTATCTAAAGACTTCTTAAAACCTTCTTCTACTTTATCGTGGAATGTTGACCAAAGCTTAAATTAAATAATACACACCATTACATTAATATAACTCATGAATCCATGAATCTTTCTGTCTATGGGAAATAAGGACCTATGATATGGACACTTTCACTGGTCACCAAAATCATCACGTTAACACATTGTATTAAATAGAATTTTACAATCCATTTTTAATTATGATCATATATGCTTGTGAATATCAAAATGAAATTGTCACGTGGCAATTATTTAAGCCCTTTCAGAGATATTGTAATTAGCCAAGCACTTGAATGTTAGAGGATAATGGATATGAACAACACATAAATACGTAGACTACCTTTGTTGTAATAAAGACATCTTCTCTCTCAATTTTACCAGCTTTAATATATTCATTTATAACTTCTCCAATATCGGCTTCATTTCCGTAGGCAAAAGCAGAATCAAAATGGCGATACCCAGCATCTAGAGCAGCTCTGATTGCCGTCTGACATTCCTCTTTCGTACTCTTCAAAAGAAAAAAGACAAGTTGACCTACAAAATGACCCTTCATTCTTTACTGACCTATATTGTACTACGTATATCATATTATGTATGTATTAATACAAGACAATGAACATCAAAACAACCAATCCTCGACACACTTTTCCTTCATACATAAACTATACATCAAACATGTTCTTAGGGGATCACGAATAATGTTATTCTTACCTGCCAAGTACCAAGTCCAAATTGTGGAAATTTAACACCGTTATTAAATGTTATAAACGGCCCAACCATTGCCATTGTTGAATTTATCAATTATGTAATTGAACTGAAATATAGAGTGAACATTTGTACCGAATGAACTTCTGATTGGGCTTCTGAATAGGCAGCTTGTGGCACGGCTTCAATGCCAAAATCACAGAACAGGGATAAAAACTACGGACAAACGTGGTCCTAGAATAAATAGAGGCACAGAAGACCAAGTCATCCTTCGTACATCTATAATACTATCCACACACGTAACAATGTTACCCGGATTCCATTCAGATAGCATTTCTTTATAAGATTTATAAATAATATAGTAAATTAAAACGCTTCCTACACGAATCTCTTGTCATTAAATAGTGAAAAAAGGAGAATAATGATGAGATCCGAAAAGAGCATGATGAAAAAAACATAGCCCACATCCAAGTCACAGCCTGTACAATGAGAAGGTACATGCATCATGTAAAAGCGGGTTCAGATCGATCTTGCGAATGATAGAAACTGAGAACTACTAGATTTTCAACAACTGTGTGTAACTGGGAGAATTTTACCAATTGTTGAATTCAATTGCAGTTCTCGTTAGGTGCTGTCGTTCTTTGATAGTCGACCCTGGCGCTCTTAATATGTTACCAGCCAATTGATTGCTGGCTCTTTTATTCGGGTTCTCTCTATAGGTGCTATTAAGCGGGCAATGTCTCGATTAGAAAGCTTCGCATATCCGATAAATGTAGTAGAAATATGCCTCTGCACTGCAAAAACGTTTTACAATCTTGACCTCGATACAAACCGGGCAAAACTTCAGTCAAAATTTGACTATGTAGTATATGTGTGACGGTAGTGAATGAGAGTAATAATAAAGATTAACACTTACCGCTTACAAAGTAACCGGGTCTATTTCTAGTTGCATATAGAATAAGTTCAAATACAGGTATTTATACTCAGGTATGAATCAGCAATTTCTAACAGTGACATTACTGAACGCCTACTTGAAACATATTATTCTTCAATTTTACTTCGTCATGTCTGCTGCAATTTAGACTTTGACCTGGGATACTTTTACCCCTTGACATTCCCATGAAAATCATTTGTTTCATCGATACCAAATTTGTATTGTTTATTGGTAACCCTGACCTCCCGGAACGTTTCTGTATTTGTGTTTTTGAACATTTTCTTCACTCAAATTTTTTGTTTAGTCCTTCTTTTTGAATATTGCAGAGGAAGGGATATCGATAGATCAAATTGCATGTACAAGGGCATGTAAAGGGCTTCGAACGCGGCTGGTTTTGTACACATAACATTCTTTCGAGATGTTCAAATAATAATGCATTATTTCTTACATTATATGAGCACAGAATTGAAATTTAGGGGAACAGAGTCTCGGAGCAAAGCACCTGCCAACAGCAATTACCAATATAGCGAACAGAGTATGTTTATGATTAACTTTGATTAAACAAGGGATCAACAAGGGATTCACAGCACCATATTTAAAAGGGACTTATATATGAAGTTCAATACATCAGGCAGGATATAATACAGCATTAATCATTAGGAGCATTACATTTTAAAATATAACCTTGATAATAATTGTAAAAGACTTATAATAACAGCAAAATAGAGGAATATAAATTATTATACATCATATGAATAAAAATAATAGTCTTTTTGTGAAATGAATTCAAAAAGGCATACCCGAGTCCTGCAAAGCATTATCTGATCTGACTATGGCCTCGGATGAAGGCTGGTGTAATAGAATCAAAATCAACAATAGAAGCAAAAACTCCCTTATCTTTACTTATGGTGATTGTTAAACCCTACTATACACATTATCTCATGGGTATTAAAAATTGTCATTAATCATACTGGCATATTTTACAATCTAACCGTAGCACCATTATCCACAAATACTTATTGCACTGTACTCGTTTTGCTATGAATAAAAATGATGTAATAAAATGAAATTATTGATATATTGGGGTAATTTTAATAGAGGTAATTTCTTATGTATATTTGTTCCCAGATTGTCTCGAATCATCTGACGACATAACACTTTTAAAGTTGGATACCTTCCATAATCTATGTTTTCACATTTCAGAGATTGTATACCAAATTCTGATAAGATCTGAGCCACATGATGCTGTCTGTCGGGAGATTCATTAACCACGTGACTTCCTCTTTCACATTTATCACATTGATACGCATCCTCACCAACATGTATCTCCTCAATTTGGAACCCTCTTAAACTACAGTTCATGTACAGCAATACCTCGACATAATCCCAACACTGTCGTTGATAACAACACTGAACCAGGGCGAATCCTGCGCGATCTTTCATGTTTATATTTGCTCCATAATGCACCAACAAATTGACAATATCTTTAAACTTGGTGACATCCGGTAAATGTTCATCCTCGTCGTCTAATTCGCCGTCCCAAGTCCAGGAATAGAGTGTATATCTCTGCTTTAATTTCACAAGTCTATGTAATACAGTGTCACCTTCTATATCTATTTTATTGACATCAGCTCCATGTTCTAATAGTAGCTTCATGGATTTTATATCAGCCCCGGAAGCTGCTAAGTGTAATGCGGTATCTTTATATCGTAAATTTTGAAGATTTACATTGGCACCATACTTCAATAATAATTCATTTAACTTATATCTCGCTTTTTCCATTTTCAGATTAAATGGTGAGGTAGGATCATTTTGAGTGTAATCAATAATATCTAAAGGAGAATTACCTTCTATGTCTGCACAATTGACATTAGCACCGGCTTCTAGTAGTTTTTTAACTATGCTGTACGGAAATTCATTCTGTTTATCTGCAGTGGTATCATGTATATGTCGACTTCTCCACCAACTTTTGTTATTTACCCATGATATTGCATACATTAAAGGTGTTGTATAATGATGGTTAGACACCATGTTTGGGTCCGCGCCATATTCCAGTAATAAATCAACAGCGGATGGTACTTGTTCTATGGCATACTGAAGATATGGTAAGCCGGAGTTCACATTATTTATCTTAGCTTCCAGCATAGCCCGTACTAATTCCAAATCGTTCATACGTAATGTATACATAAGAGTACTGTCATAGTTAAATTTCTCACTATTTACCCCCTGTGATACCAGATACTGAATGCATTCTATCTTTTCTTCGATTGTCCTATTAACACGATACAGACTGCTATCTAAGCAGTATTTCATGGCTACTTTAAGAACAGTTGCTCTATTCACACGATGCTTTATTTTTGGAACAAGTTCCTTCAACGCACTACACTTTAACAAAGCAGCATTTTCAAGGATATGAAATGCAACATCTTTAGCAAATCGTTTTACAGTAACGTGGTTCAATACATTACCGAAATGTCTTTCCAACTGATATGCATGCTGGGTTAAAGCTGAATCGGAATCTTTTGTTGATGGCGTCTCCTTCTCCCCCGTGTTTTTTCTGCTACCTTTCATCTTGACTTACTGTAATAAAAAAAAGTAGGAATTAACTCAAACAATATTCTAACATTTATTATCATCTATAACATAACTGTCAACGATTTTCGTCACCGTTAATTAGTTCTTAAAACTTTTGTTTTCGTGGCGACATTACCATAAAATGTCAAAGAAAGCCTAACGATGACGTGCCGGGAAACAGGTAAAGTTTGTGACTTCCCTTGGACAGAGCCGTATATAGAGAGAGTCTGGCCAACTCGCCGCCCTGAACCATGATTGGCGCAGAGCGGTCACGTGATTGAAGGCCGCCATATTGTTACCCTTCCCGTGACGTTTAGGCGTAGATGCCTGGGTATTCTTTACGTTGTTTAAGCCTAATTCCTGGTCTTGTCTGGCAACAGAATGCCTCGATGTGTGGCATAGAAATGCTCTGTCAAATCTGGAGGAGGTATAGTGATGCACAGGTTCCCTAAGGATAAAAGGAGACGCAGAGAATGGAAGTAAAGGTCAAACGATCCGACTGGACTCCCCACGACAACTCTTTTCTATGCGATGTAAGTACATTCGATGATTTCAGGGGTTTTGCAAATTGTGTTATGTTCACGTCTAAAAACTGGATATAATAGATATGGAAACTTTGTGAGAGGGTTTCTTTCCACGCACTGGCTATCTAAGCCTAGGCCTAGACGAGGAGCATGCACTATGGCTTCTGAGACACTGTCAACAACATTTATAGGCCTACACTTAATCGATCGATTTATGTTTTTCTATAAATGTGAAATACTAAGACTATTTACTTATTTAGTATTTAGTATTATTTACTTCCAATCACCAAAACAAACAGTAGAATTTAAAGGTGTGCGCCATATTGGTGCTTGTACGGTGAGGCAAGAGGCCATGGCTCCTAATTCTAATATTTGTGCTGGTCCTGATTTCCCCCCCCCCACCACCACCCTTCGCCCTATCAATATCATTGATTTCCTAAATGCCTATCAGTATTACCCCACCCCCTTTAGAGATCAAACGAAACGCCACCATTGTTTATGTTATTTCATTATTGACATTCGCAGAAAAATATGGAAGGGCAATGTAGACTGTGGGTCTAGACTATAATGTGAACACTAAGTCTTTTGGGCCAGTCACTTGTGTAAATTTTGGTTTCTCTTCCAGAATCACTTCGACGACAGTCAAAGAGAAACAGATCACCTGGACAACAGCCGACAGCTGAAGCAAAATGGTTTCAAAGCTGAAATGATGATTATTGAGTGGTGTGATATAACTTTCATGCCTTCATGACATAAAATAAATTGTGCTGATTGAAATTGAATAATGAGCCTTTTTCTGTTCAGGCCCACAAGTAAAAGAGACAGGGGTGGGGAGTGGGGTGGGGCGGCGCCTCCCTTGAATTATTTTCGCCCCCACTGCAAAATTCAAACAAGTTCTCAATTGAAGCTGAAATCAGTCTCTATCAGCTAATCCAGCCTCCGTGCAAATGCATTCGCCCCTCTTGGCACATTGGTTTTTGTTTTTGTATAGACATACCAAATTTTATCAAAATCGGTTAAAAACTGTAAATTCTAGAGAGTTTACGAGGGATAACGTCGGCCGCCTTGTAGCTATGAGAGGGTAACAAGATGACGCCTTGTGACGTAGTTGGCCAGACTCTCTCTATATACGGCTCTGCCCTTGGAGACTCTAGCAATTTGTGGTCTGACGTCAAGCGCTGATTTGATAACCTCCCTTGTCACACTCACACTATGTTCGTGTTTTGTTCCGCTAGTGAGACGACGCTTGTGTCGAACATAACACAGAAGTAGGCCACATAAACATTTGTCGATTATCATCATTTGGTTGAAGTTAGTCGAGATTTTAAGGCTTTAGGCAGAGTATAGTTTACTGTCAATATACAGCGCTATCATTACAGCACTGAGCAACGTTCCACCCATACAACAGAAGGTGGGATGAGTTTTTAACACCTGAGAGATTCCATATAAATAACCACGGTGTAGCCAAGGCCTACTACAAGTACAACTACATATGGTTTCAGAATAATATATTTATACTCAATGTATAGGCCTATTTACCTATTATATTATATTTTTAAGATCTCAATTAAAATTGTTCTAAGATAACACAAGATAGTCTCCGAATCGGCAATCACTGACACTAAACGGTCGAATCTAGTTTCAAATCTTACCTAAACTGCTATTATTAGTTCTTATCATAGGACATCCGTTGGTATATAACCTCGATCCCCTTAAATTGTTTTCCCTGAAAAGTAATGATGTTTCTTATTTTATTTCTTTCTTTCATCATATATATAAATTATTACCGGATATTGTGAAGTCGGTTGCATTCGATTCGCTGTTCTGCACCACGTTCTATAAACATTAAAACGTGTTACTTCCCCTTAATCATTGGGGTTTTTTTTATTCTGTCAGAAAATATTAATTGATTTACTCCACATAATATTTGAATATCATCTGTTTTCCAAATTCCACCTTCCTGGTACAACGGAAATCTCATTATAACCCATATCTCAAATGAAAATCTGATTAATATTTTTAAGTGTCTGGTCACAGACCTACATGTTATTATGGTGAAACTCGGAAGAAGACCACTGCCGCACAATACATCAGCTTTTACAGAGAAATACTATTTCCACAATTGAATACACTTTCCTGCATCCGGTTATTTTCCAATCGTACTTAAACTAAAATTTGGATTACTGGGATAGAAATATATGCAGGATATCCTATGTTAAAATCCACGGACCCCCACTCATCTAGTTGAGCCACCGATAAAAACCCAAGAGGACATGGTCACCACACCCACTCCTAAAAAAAACATCAACTCATGATAAGAACATTGTATTATGCAATTATGAATTCTGGCTTTGGGAATAGGGTGCTCTGTGTAAAGTTATTGAATCGAGTCAGAATTATAAATAACATTATGACATTTATTTACATTTTTACATTGTCTCAATATACATAATAATCATTACGTAAAATAGTAATGATAAATGATAATATTTACAATAGAGATTATAATAAACTTGCAGCCCTTCTTTCATCACAAGAGGTCAAACCAAGGGTTCTTCTACAATGTGTTTTGCAAGATATAAGACGTTGTAAAGCGTTTTTAAATTGGCCTTGGCCAAATAAAGAAAGAAATGGAAATGACGTGTGCAAATTTCAGTCGAGATCTGTAAAAGCTCCACTTAAAGTTGATAAGATTAACTTAAATACAGAAAAATGCTCTTAGGAGTGTCTTAAAGCTCGTTTTCAAACGTATCGGTTAAGTAATGAAAACTGTGCTATAAATAATACTTTTCACTACTGCTTCTTCTGTTTTATACTAATAACAAAAATAGCAAAGTCTATTTTAATTTGTAATTGGTGGATGTAATTGATTTCCAATCACAAGATACCAGTGGAACATATCATTTGTAGTATTGATGGGTACGATACAAACTGCTATGACAATGTAGAATTAAACAAACTACAACTGAGATTCATCTAAATGGGAATAGCTATATATATGCAGAAATGAAACAAATGTTAAAATGTATACAGGAAATGACGACGATAAAGAATATAAACATAAAAAACCTGGGGACTACGGAATTTTCTCTAAAATCGGTCAAAAATATTAATTCACAGATTAACATGTGTTGTCATACTGTATTATACATAAAATGTCTGCTGTTTCATGCAGGCGTTAAAAGACTTTTGTGTATTAATAGATTTGAACGATTCAACTTTACAATTGTACTCTGAGGCCAAGTGAGTATTATAAGACTAGATTAAATTGGCAATAAACATACCTACAATAATAGTCATTGTAATAAACTATACAAGCTTATAAACATACATCTTCAGTTTCCGTTCCTTTATCCTTATGTATGAATTTTGTACGACGTAAGTAAGAAACAGAAAAAAATGAACGTTGTGTTTTTAATTAGATTGACAATGATCTCAAGATAAGATATTAACTATCGTATTTCTTTTAACATTGGTCTCCTAATAGGAGACTCCTAAACCGTTACACGACATGCACATGATTTTGCCTGTCTCATATTGTGATATTATTCTCCATTAGTTCCCATTTACTGACGTAATTCTAAGTTCATGATGTTGGAAACATGTATAAAACAAGAAGATGTTAGTCTTGTATCACAATCTATATAACCAATTTGAATATTGATATGAATTTGATTGTTTCAGAAACACATTTTTCAACAAGGACTGCTAGTCAACAAAAATCATTGAATTTGCATTAAATGTTTGAATCGCACAGTTCTTTTAATTTTGAAGCTTTCCTGAATGTATTAGTGTGGAACTTACGTTAAGAATCTAAAACTAATGGGATTTGAAACATCACGTGACAGTTGTCTGTTATATAATACAGTTACGAAAATAGAAAGTATATCACTTCCTGTGGATGCCAATCTTTCGCCATTGTTAATTTAATGTCTGATATCTCTGTGAAACATCAATATGGCGGAACATCCACAAATACAGATATGTTTTCCTGATATTAAAGATTGGAATGACTAAAAACAGGAACAGGATATCACCATGACAACGAGTCAATTACTATTCTTATCAACTTCCAAGATTTATGAAAAGTGAAAATATTAAAATCAAAAAGTTTATTTTTAAATTCACTGAAGCACTGATTGGTTGATCGCTGGTATTATCGTCTGCTTGCGTCACGAGCACCAGTTCGTCATCCTGATTGACATCTGATTCCAGACTCGGTGTATGCTGCCTCATATTGCCGTCTTCTACACCAGTTCCACCCTGGTGTAGGTTTTCTGTTTTATCAGGACAACCTAACCACCAGTTTCCAATGTTTCTTGGATAACCTTCATCAACCTTAAATAATACAATACAAATGCCATTAATTTAGACGTGTGGTATTTGAAGTTTATTATCAGTGAGATAGAGATTTCTACAAACACATTGTACGGCTGTCAGCTCAATTTCGGTGGTTTGACAAAGCGGTCTTCATTTTTCGAAGACGATGAAAGAAAGTTTACTGAGTAAATCCGAAAGCCTGGCTCATTTGAAATAAATATCTACAAAGCTTAAAAAATTAAGTTAAATTTTCAAAAATTGCAGCTACACGTATCACAATATTGAATTCTTGAAGGATGTATACCTTAAACTTATTATCATGGAATCTGTAATAATTTGCACCACTGAAAAAATACGTTCTACCATTCCTCCATTTAAATGCTGCATCAATTTTTGCAGGTAAACCCCTCCATACTGTTAATGGCTTAGGATAACCGAAATCAACTTTTCTGTCTGTGTACCTCCAGTACTCATTTCCTGAAAAATCAATTCTATTACTAGGGTTTCTTGTTGTTTTATGTGTCAGATTATTGAAATATTTCTTATTGATTATCATCTACGCCTTTCAGGAATGCCTCAGAGATTTGGAATTGTTGCACCAACTCTTCACTTTAAATACGCCCCTTGAATCCAGATCATGATGCTTTCCATTCTACTGCTGGGGAGTAAGATTAAGTATATCAGGGTATGAAAATAGGGTTCATAAACTATACAGAATTATTCGTGTGATTGCGATGCTCTTTCAAGTTTATAACTTCAAAGTCGTCTGTTTGTTGAAGATCAAGTTAACTTAGACAGATAACGACCATACAACATAACAACCCGATAACAGTTTATATTACAATACTTTACACGATTTGGCAAATTTTCCAGAAAAGACAAAAGAACTCTTTGTTCTCGAAGACGTCATGAAGACACAATTTCTATGTAATCTATTTTCAATCTGGTTCTCACCTTTGAAGAAATATGTTTTACCATTACCACCCCATACAAACACGGCATCTACATCATTAGGTATACCTCGAAATCCTTCAGTGATTAACTTGGCATATATTAAGCGGAAGTTGTGAAATTTATAATAAAATTCGCCCTGAAAGAAGTTAAAAACCTTTCTCTCAATCATTGAGATAATTCAAATGCTACCGATAATTTTGTGCAGGTAAGACACTTGTTCATGTTTGAATTGTTATATTCAGCTTTAAAAGTGAATCTTTTTACAAGTACTGAAAGTTTCAGGGACTTACTATGCTAAGTCTAAAAATCCTTTGGATTATTCACGGTCATCACTTGTTGATTCTATGAATGTGTCTAGTCGAAATGTATTTAATCCTACCTTAAAAAAGTATGTAAATCCATTATCCCAATGAACAACAGCGTCTATTGGTCCTTCTAATCCCGCCCAATCCCACGAGATCTCGCGAGGATATCCAGGGTCAATTCCATACCCATTTAATCTGTAGTAATGCTTTCCTGAAATATTATATCATAACATACATTGTTTCGTCAAATTCAGCTGTTAGTCCGTTTCAGAGTGTACAAGAACGAAGAAGAAACATTTCAAGATTTGGAGAAATTAGTCGTAATGAAAAATACACAAAATTTTCAGATTACGGCTTAGCAAGGTTTATAAATTTTTGTATAGATTATAATATGTACCTTTAAACATATACGTTAAGCCATCAGTAAGTCTAGCTACAGCATCGACAGTAGAATCTAGGCATATCTTAGGTACACGTAACGTGGGATCTCTGGTTGGTGGTTTGATAGGTTTATTGGATGACTTGGTTCCTGAAATCATTATCAATAGTTACTAAATTTGTTATATTAACAAACAAGTTCTCTTCTGTATCAACCAGGAACATCAAATTAGTTTTCATTTCCCAAAGGCACCGATCATTTAGTTGGCGCCTGTGGAACACTGTGGTAATGGTCGTTTGAATCACTGAATGTGGTAGATGGAAAGAAGGAAAGGACGGTTTGATTCTTTGAATATCATTCGCAGATGTCATGTTACAGAGAGCAACGGATATAAACTATTGGAGTGACATAATCCTCATGAAATAGCCATAATGTTATGAGGCAACACCCATAGAATCCGTGCAGCATTCTACAAGGATCGTACTAAATTAGAATTAAAAGTAGAATGTGAAAATGTATCGTGTGATGTTGTAAAAACTAACCATAAAGCTCTTGTATAGCACCCACATCATCTCGACTCAATTCAAAATATTTCTGATAACCTCTGTAGAACGGTGCCATTAAAGCTGTGCTCACGTCTGAATGTGCTAGTCCTAATGAATGACCAAATTCATGAGCTGCAACTTGAAATAGATTTACACCTACAAAAGTAAATATAAGCTTCAAAGCAAACGTTAAAGTGGTACCAGATGTTCTAAAAAAGTGGGCACTAATCATTAATTTAATTTCTTTCTATATCGGAAGTTGTATTGGTGGATTGATAGGGGGGTAAGAAAATATCAATTGGCAAAGACTTACCATCAGGAACTTCTATACTCCAAGGTTCCTCGTCATCAAAATGAGCAGCGCCTCCATATTGTGGAAAGAAAGCATGAGCAAGCGTTCTTCCTCGACCATCAAAAGGATTTCCATCACCATGAGAACGTCTTGCAAACTTGATATCAAGGTCTACTTTTCCATAGTCTTTTCTTGTAAAGGTCAATGGGGTTACTTTCGACCAAATCTGCAAATGAATAATATAAATAATAACAATAAGATTTCTATAGTTTTGAATAATGCTTGAGCGATGTGAAATAGTAAATGAAAATATGTTGCTGCTGCTCAAACAACTGGACTGTTTCAGCCGATGCCAACAATGAGGCTTGACAAGTGGATCATGTTTCTGATGTATTTTAGCCTCTATCCCTTGACTTTTGACATTTAATCAACATGACCATATCGGTCTTTATCCCTTCTGAGGTTTCACAACTTGATCTTATCGTGTTCATTTCACATTGTTGATGGTGGACGCTTTTCAAATATTATTTATTTATCCAAACCAATTCATTTTATGCTCTATATTAACAGAGCAACAAACGTTCAAAATCATTAGATTAAGTCGACCTGTGTATAAATTATAGCTTTGCTTCAATAATGCCCGTCTTTCTGAAGTGTCTCGATACACAAAAAACAAGAACAAGTATTTCTTTTCTAACAATAGCAGTAATGTAGTTTACTACAGATTGGAATTGTCAATTGAGATCATTAAGGAAATAAATATGTAAAATATTTGCGTGACCTGACAGACTGAAATCCAGAGAGAATGGTTAATCAATTGATTAGTCAATTTTAATGTCGGATGTCTGATTCAATGATTGTAAAGTCAGAAAAACAACTCCTAGGAGGATCGTGTAATACTCTTTACTAATTCCTGGAAATCCTCTGGGTACCAACAGCTGCCAGAATAAATTGGCATTTCTTTACAATACTGGTGAACAAGTGTGAGTACAAGACAATATACAGATGATATAAATTTCTAAAACGCGTGAAATTTGTCTTAATTTTTACTTTTTTTTAATGTAAGTTAGGTATCAGAACCATTTTTATTCAAATTATTATGAAATGGTGTGTAGAGTAAGTCGAATATATCCAAAAGTAATGAGATTCATAATTAATGAGTGTTTCATAATATGACAGTACTCTATACACACACTATGCTAACTGTACCCTTACCGTACAAAGCTATAAATAATAATATATAATACTGACCTCTAGTGACTTGTACACCTGATCATCAACTTGGTGTGTTGGTAGACCACGTGGGTAGGATGATGTTCGATATGTTAAATCTTTTTTAGCCCATTTACTTCCTGCAAAAATTAAAAATATGTATGGGTCAATATTTCACGAAACATTTCACTAGTAAGTGCATGCCGCTACGTTGGTGAATAAATTGCTACTTCAGAATCTCAAAATAGAGCATTGACTTTGGACGTTTAGTTTTTGTGTAGAAGTTATGTCCCTTGAGAGGAACATTTTGCTCGGAAATGTCTATACGTGGTTTCACAAGCGAACATCAGAAAATACTCACTAAAGAACAGAACTAAATACCAGGATTCAACCTGTGGTGTTATAGTACTTGTTTAATCTTGTTTAATCTAGTTTGCTTGGTACATGACTTAGATTTTATGTAGGCCTATTGCTTTTATTTTGACTTAATTATGTTTTATTTTGGACTGTTTGTATATTTCGTAACCAATGAATTATGTCAACGGTTATAACTACTGTTACAGTTTGGGGCAACTTCTATCGAAAATGTACGGATGTGTTATTCTAAGGATGTTCCCCCTCTTAAAGCATTTACCACCATTGTGATATTTGATCAGAATGTGAGCCTCCCATTGCACAGAGGTTCCACTCCACAGAACCACGAAGACTTTATTGTGGGCTACTACTACATTTCAAAATCTTATTTTGTTAACATATAAAGGACTTCAGTTCAACATAGTCGAGGTTCCTTGAGTCACCTGGTGTGGTGGTATAAACCTCCCGTGTTTCGTCATAGTTTGTTCGGCATGTTAACACAGCTGGTAACCATAAACCGGAAGTAACGTAAACTGATGTCAGTGGTATGGCGGGAAAACACATCTGACCTCGCTTTCAGTGTAAATATAGAGCGTGGGTGGATGTTCAAGGAAATCGGAACTCCCGAATCATACATTTTATGTCTAAATCTCAAGTACATAATATCAAGTACATTTCTCTAACACTCACTGTGCTGCTTAGGAATGGCCACCACGGTACCACACCAAGAAGTACAATCCCCGTAGCCAAAATGTTTAGACATTTATTTCAACTCGGCGTTGAACTGTCTACATCAGTTATTTAAAGAACTGTCAAATTTGTTTGTTTGAATATCGAAGAGATCAGTCTGTTTGGTTACTAATAATACTAAGTAAACAACATTGGCTATGTGGACTAAGGGATGATTATGTTCATAATTTGAATATCTGGACGTGGAGTTTAGTGCATATTGCCTATAATTATGTACGGAACAAAAATCTCCATGCCTAATCTGAAAATACTGCTTTATATTCTACTACTGTAATTCTACCAATACATGGGTACAAGCACAGATTTTGAATTATGAAAGCTAGACGTTTGGAATGATAGACAGTAACACCGACATTTCAATCAAATCAACATTCACAAGAGAGGTAAAAACAATAACACCATACCCCTTATAGAGAGTAAATACCGGCACAAATGTGAAATATATCAAAATAAACAATAAAACTACGGTATAAAACATTGAACGGGTGTAAAGGGGTCTACCTATTTTAAATGTCTTCCGCTTGGCATGTGGTTTTCTGCCAAACATATGTTTTGTATGATATTTATATTGGTAATAATTTTTGTTTTTATAATTTCAGATTGAATATATCAGACAAATTTGACTTGATGTTCGTGTGATTGTTCTTGGGATAATTCCCTGGAAAGTTGCTGAACGATTAATGAAACTTTCAACATTTCTGAATGCCATCACTTAAAGAACGTGATAATATATCATTTTGTTTTATCTATATAGCGTAATGAGAATCTTGTCCTTTAAATGTCAAAGCAATTTGCTGAATTCTGAGTATGGTCATATACAGATAAAGAAATAAATTGATTTTTACCATTAATGTTTTTATCATTGTACATATCTTATTTTTTGATACATTTCTAAAGTTGAAGAGAAGTGACATTTTTAGAATTAAGCCCGTTTACGCGATCAAACTGATATTCATTGTTCATATATAAACTTATTAATTTTCTTAGAAATATTACTATATCGCTCGACAATATTGATGCACTATTTTAACAGTGTAAATTATTCTATTGTCCTAATAATATTCTTCTTAATACTAAAAACAAATGTATTATCGTGTGACTGGGCTTAAGTTACCTTTTTACCATATTTTTGATATTCTATATCCTACCTTGTAATGCGTATCGTTTCCTTCTGGCACCAATACCCATCCCAACGTTATCAGGTACACCACATCGCCGCAACGTCATCAGATGTTTAGTAGCTTCATCTAACTTTCCTGAAAACATATAGCAGAATAATAATAAATACAGAATAATAATAAATACAGATGATATGCAAATAGAATTCCTCTGATTCATCTATTGTAAAGCTTAATGACTTAAGTTAGCTTAATTAGTAATTCCAAATACAGTATATAGTTTCCAAACTTGAAATTCTGCACAGATCATTGCTAATTTATGTATTTTGGTGTCAGCAGTTTTTATTTTTCAGTTTAAAGTCTTATTTTTGCATTTTTTAAATGTGTGGTAGCAATTTTAATATTTTCAATGCATTAAAGATATCGCTTTTTATATTCCATTTAAAAGTACGTTTTCTTGGTTCGGAAAACTGTATTAATCAATTTCATGCATGGTGTTATAGACGTGACCTCGATGTTATTTGAAAGTAAAATATATTTGTAGAAAGTAATTAATACCATGTGACAAAGTAACAACAAAGTCAGAACTAAGTCATGGAAATGTTTCTTAATCTATTGACTTATTACTCGCTTATTTATAGATTTTTATCGATTCCTATTCTACTTATAGTCTGTTTCTTTAATAGGCTTTGTATTTCCAGAATTCTATAATAACCAGACACCAGAACAACTCCAATACCTGATCTCAATACAATTCCAATAATAGAACTGACAATATTACATACGTCTTGATTAATTATCCCTTCTCAAACATCAAACAGAACAGTTCAAGGTTTATTTCCAGAACATATTGCTAAACCCTACTCTTATCTGACACTAAGGTTTACGAAATACATGAGAGATTACCAGTAGTGGTGTGTATTGAAAGTTTTCAAACAAGTAATATATTGGAAGGTTATCACAAATAAATGCTTTCGAACATAATAAAATAGTAAAAACCTTTGGGAACAGAAAATTCCATAGTAAAAAGAACATTCGACAGGATAGAGGCGCCAATTGCATATTCGATATCTCTAACGTGGACGTGTATTCCTGCATTATAAGAATTGTATAAGACAATGTTTTGATAAATGAATGTACAAATTGATGCATTGAAAGCATTCATGATGTGTTGTTTTTTTTTTGTCCACAATGAGATACCAGTATAATAAATAAAGCAATTTTTATCCGATGAGGTAATGGGACTGTCTGTAACTGTTAGTTAAATTAAGCTTTCCACACTAATGTCTGGTGAATGCCTGGTAAATATTGGTCCCAGTTCTTGCTACAATGAATAATTGATTAGGCGAATACAACATTAATTATATTCTTCAACTTGACGTATTTCGACTACTCAAGTCAATGTACAATACTTTAATTCACTAAGTATACAAGGTAAAATATGTCTGAATAAGACATGAATTACAAAAACAAAACCAACAATACAACACGTCGATTTGATAAAACTATTGGTGAACTAGAGGAATTTTGAACAATCTAAATATTAGCCCTTGGCATGGATATATATCATGCTGTTCCGGACATACAACTAGTTTGATAGAAAGGCTCCGAATTCATAGGTGTTACATCGAAACTTAATATTTTCAATAGGAAGGGAGACAACTATTTGGTCATATTTTTAAAGTATATACCAAGCTATAGTAATTCATATCGTGAATTGTTCTACACGTGTTTATCAAGAAAAACAGCCGAATACACATCTATACAGGTTAGAAAATGATGACAATCTTTAAGAAGTGCATATATCTGACATATTGCATAATGTATACAAGCATGACACGTTTTTAGTATCATTTAATAAAAATCTGTACCCAGCTAGTCGCTGATAAATATCTTGCACGTGTTATCAGGCAAGAAGTCCATATTTCATTATATTATACACGAGTAAAAAAATATATATACGTTGTAAAACGTTGATAAAGTGAAATGAAAATCCATTTCAAGTGTTTATCAGTTAAAATAGTTCATATTTAGAGTGTTCGATATGAAAATAGTATATTTAGCAGTGCATATCTCTAACAAATTGCATTGTACCCAGTTAGACACTGATAATACAAAAGTATCTAGCACGTGTTTATCAGATTAAAAAAGTGCAGGTATATTTCAGGCAAAAGGTGTTATTGCATTTTAAAAAAGATGACACGCATCTCAAAGAACATGCACCTATTCACTATGAAATATCACCTCATTGCACGTGTTTATCATGTAAGAAGTGCAGTGAGATATGAAACATTTGTATCAACGTTAATAAAATATCGCACAACGTAAACTAGGGGCCATTGAACCTTTCTTCTTAGAAAAATGAACCTATACAGCAAGGGCAGAGAGACCAGGATTGATCTGCATTAGAGCTTCTGCCTCTCTAAAGTTGCAACATAGACCTACTAATTCGTTGATATTGTATCACAAAGGGTTGATATTAATTTGGGGAAAAAAAGTCCGTTTTTAAAATAATCATTCTACAGATTTCAAAGAGATTGTGTTATAAATGTAAATCATATTAAAGCAGATTTGATGTATTACGGCCATTAAGAAAGGGAAGTAACTCTTAATCTATATCCTGGTTTCAGGTTCATACACAATGTTTTATAGTTTAGGTGAGGTAATTATTGTTGGTAAGTTCAAGTATATTTTTCCGGCCCAGACAACCTTAATGGCTGTTTATTAATTTAGTTTTTTTACTGATTGAATTATTATGAGAGGAAATTATACGGTTAGTAGATTATTGAACTGTATTTATGACCTATATAGGAGTCATAAAGAGTGCTATATGGGTGTACATCCACTTGCAATGCAGATCTACCTGTTTGTTGGGTTTCCTTCTATTTCGGATTTCATTTGCCTTACAAAGTCTGCCGAATTGTTGTGTGTCGTTGAATCACTCAATAAAATATTTGCCGAAAAGGAATTGCGGGATATACATTATCCAATATGCAATTGAAATGTCAGTCCACTTTATAACGATGGTATGAATTGTGACAACTTTTTGCGATTTAAATAAAAATCGTCTCATCATGAATGGCGAGTGTAACAACTCACAGAAAACACACGAAAAGGACCATCTTGATCTGTTGTTTAATCAGACTGAATTGATGGTTCATTGTTCTTCTTTCATTGTGAGACCATTTTTGTCAAGCTTTTTAGACTGTTAGTAATAGCGTTTAATCCAGATGTTCACACTGAACGTGTGTTTGTATAAATGTAATAAGTAGAAAACTAAAACCACTTCAAAAACTAAATTGTTTAATTGTAGAGGATATGAAAAATTAAATAATAAGTAGAACGTCTAAGTACATATAGACTGAAAAAAGGTCGCAGTCTGTATTTCTTCAATTTATAAAACCATTCATATCAGCATTTCTCGTGTGTTATGTGTAGCTTCTTTTTGTTGTAGTATTGTTGCAGTTGCTATAATGTGTTGGTGTTAAGTGTTATATGTTGGCTTTAGTACTTATAATGTGTTGTTTTGTTGTAATTTCCTGTTGTATGTCTCAGTGATTTTGGTGCCGTAATGCGTTATTGATGTTGCAATATTAGGCATGTACTATCACAGGCTCATGAAGTTCTGTCAATATTAATAATATTAATAAAAAATGAGCAATGTGGAGAAAATAGTGTCAATGTATATAAAAAAAGAGAAGACAGAACTTCAAGGGCCTATATTTGCACTCACTACTGCTTCTCTTCCTTGCCATCTGTTTCGTTTTTAAAAGATGGTAGTTTCTTGATGGTGTCTACTTATTGTGCTAAATACATGTCGATGTAGATTAGAATTATGGTAATCTGTGAAAAATATGCGAATTTACTTACCAGTTTCATTGACTCCACCCATTCTCTGTAATCTTTTCAAAGCATACGACACCGATTCTTCTGTTCTTAAGGCACCAGTCTGAGGATTTTGTGGTGTCAGGTATCCATACTTTATTAAATAATCCTGAAAAGAGATAAAGATTGACTTTACTAAGAGTGAGTCAGTGAAAACTTCAAGTAGACTTCTAAGATGGCTCTAATGTTGGTAATGTTCATGATGACAATGGCGTGAATTTGTTTCTGAATGGTTTATTCTTAAATTTCGAAAACTTTGAGGGAACATTTTCGTGTATAACAGAACAAATAATTTTCTAATAGAAGCTGCTAATTAATTCTTTTTAATTTAAAAGGCACCTGACTACAAGTTTCAACCGATTGCACTTGCCACCCCTTATTAATATGGTAGATATGGTAATATGCATTATATAATATGATCATTAAGCATGCATACGGAATTAAGATGTGGTATACATGCAGATGTGTGGTTATCTAAACCTGATGGTAAACATCTGCACTTTAACACTTCCAGATACTAAACCGATGTATTTCCATACTAATTGATAATACACCGGGTGTATTGTTAAACATTGAATATTAGAATCTACTTATTTCAAAAATAACTAAAATACTTGTAGACTTATTGAGTATAGCAATCAGTCGATTCATTACCAAATGCACTAATACAGGCAGATTTTCCCATAAAGAGTAAGATTGTTTATCATGTTTTAGCGGGAAATAAACAAAGCGACGGATCTAGGACTGTATAATCAAATTACCATTCCTACTTGTCCGCGGCATATCCATTTCAGATCTTCAAGGCCTAAGTCCCAAAACCTATTAAATTCATATATAAGAATAGCTTGAAATATATAGGTCCTTGTTTATGGTACTCTTTACCTCGATCCTTGGCAAAATTTAAAAAACAACTCTTTTCTTTCTTCAAAAAATAGAACAACAAAATCAGATGAATGATAAATGTATATAACTGTTAAGAGTTCTACTGCTTTTGTGATTGTTATTTTGAGTTCCTTTTGTATTATATGTAGTGTTCCTTTCAAGGGCAAAATAGTGAAAAGGCCAGGCCTAATTTTCACCCTAATAAATATTTTAGTATTATTATTATTATTCAGTCTCAGTAATATAATAGGTGTTCCAGTGTGTATTGTATTAAATATATGTACATCTTTTACAAAAAATTTAAATATTATTCATGAATTGGTGTTTTGGCAAGAAGTTATTTTCGAATAAAGTCTGCACAAACAAGTTGATATTTTTCTTCTACAGTGAAAACATCTGTCTATTCTTACTGATTTACAATGAACTAGAGGAAGGTTTATTGATGAACAATTATCTGGTGAATAGTTTACAAGTGGAAAGAAATCACCAGAAAACACAGTCAATATTTATCTCTAATTTCTGGCTATCAATCAATCTGAACTTCTTTTCATCAGCCATCTCTTGGTAATTATCAGAGTAACACTTCCTAGTGTTCAACTTTCAGCTTTAATTCAGCTATTGAATAAGTCATAAGTCGTCATGATTTCAGTCGAACTAGTCCACAACTTGCTAGCTGTCATTACTCTTGATCAACGTTTAAAGGTCTTAAAATCATGCAAACGTAACCTTTTATCCAGAAAGGTTGTGAATATCATCCAGATATCCTTTGTGGACTTGAATTAATATTTGTTTGGCATGGTTGACAGGTTATCTGTCCTCTGAAGAAATTAGTTTTTCGGAAACTCAGAAATTGAACCTTAATAAGTTTTAATGTCATATCTGAATGTGTTGCCATTTTATTCATGCCATATCGGAATGTGATGCCTGGTTATCCATATATTATCTGAATGTGATGCCAAGTTTTTTGTCATATCTGAATGAATTGCAAAGCTCTTCATGTCATATCTGAATATGATACCAAGTTATTCAGGCATATCTAAATGTAATGCCGAGTTATTGTTGTCATATGTGAATGAACTGCAAAGTTATTCAGGTCATATCTGAATGTAATACCGAGTTATTCTTGTCATATCTGAATGTAATGTCGACTTAGTCTTGTCATATCTGAATGTAATGTCGAGTTATTCTTGTCATATCTGAATGTAATGTCGAGTTATTCTTGTCATATCTGAATGTAATGTCGACTTATTCTTGTCATATCTGAATGTAATGTCGAGTTATTCTTGTCATATCTGAATGTAATGTCGACTTATTCTTGTCATATCTGAATGTAATGTCGACTTATTCTTGTCATATCTGAATGTAATGTCGTGTAATTCTTGTCATATCTGAATGTAATGTCGAGTTATTCTTGTCATATCTGAATGAATTGCAAAGTTATTCAGGTCATATCTGAATGTAATGCCGAGTGTTATGGCGAGTTGTTCGTGTTTGTATATTAGTATTTAGATGATGAACGAGCAACCTATACTTAACCTTTTATTGATAAACTCATTCTTTTATGTTGGAATAAAAACAACCTTATCTCACTTTCTCTCTTTCTTTGACATAACACAACATACCGTATGTTTGCATCCCTTTATAGTAGATTTATCGACAAAACTAAGTAGACTAATGATAAGCATGTTGCTTATAAAGTAAAATGGGTTTCATTCTCATCATTAGCCTGTGCAAGACTCAATAGTTGTGTCCTGAGTCGCCCCAGCTGTGACAAGAGGGTACAGGAACACACAGTGTACATGCGTTTATATAAAAATGCATAAATTCATGCTTAATGTATTAAGTTTGTTTCTTCATTTATAGCTAAATTACAGAGCTTAAAGAAAAAATAATAATGACAAGGATCTGACAAAGTAATAGCAATGTATTATGAACGATGGTTGTCCTGAGGGTTAAAATATAATGAACAAGCACTTGCTTCCTGGTGGTATACATGTATAGATTCTAATTGAATAGAGTCAATCAATAAGAAAACTATGATAATAGTATATTATATACAAACAATTGACATATGCCCCTCCCCCGGGTCCTGTTTTCTTATAATTACTCTAGACAATCTAGTCAAATAGTTATTATTCTGTAATTCCAATATCAGTAGCTGTGTTATCTTGACTTGCCAAAAACATGGAAATGATAGTCAAATGGCCACTCTTCCAGAGAGAAAGCGTTATATTTCACTGTCAACTCTCAACACCATTTGCAATTGCTCAAAGCAGATCATCATTCCCCAGCCGATAAGTTGCAACAAAGCACTTACATATATAGTTCATTAATGGACAGATCAGCAAGGCTTAGTACTGAGGCGAGGTAGGAATATTATACAGAAATGTTTAAGATTTTCTCACAATATGACTGGTTTCAGAAGCTAATCTGTATATCGATGTTTATACTTGTATTCAAAACCATATAAACATGGGTTCTAAAGTTCTAACAACTCAGAATCTCCCATAGGATGGTCCAAGTTAACATTTTTTATTGAATAATTTTGATTTTCACTTGTGATAAAGGTTTGATATACAGTGATTTGAAATTTGTTTTTGGTGGCGAGGGAATCAATAATATTATCAATAAGTAAGATAGAAAACTAGGTCTGTATCTATTAAATATAATTATTTTGAATTCAGACTGGAAATTATCTGGAGTCTACTCCAATTTCTCTTTCAAAATCAATATATAAGTCCCAAACAGATCTATTTGGTTATATAAGAATCTCGCTATAGGTTATTCCCGCGGTCTGGTTTATATAAACTAGGAATTAAAATAGTCGATCAGGAAAGAATTCATTCTGAGTTTCAAGGTCAATTAAACGAGCTGGTTTGGTTGTAACTTCTATACCTCATAAATTTGAGAAATATCTACAAGTACTTCTTGCAAGTACATGAAAGAGTAAGGTGCCAATTTTAGAGCAAGTCAAGTTCAACGCCGACTTCAGGGGAAGTCTAAGATGTTAAGACTATTTAACACTAATTGTATATTTACAATTATACATTAATAATATACGTCTTGAATATCACCATTATTCACTTTACGCTGTAGAAAGTTAATGGATGTTTGTTGATAGAAACTATTTGAGGTGTACCATTTGGTATAGCATCTTAATGATTGAATTTTACATACATTACACTTTACAATAAACAGATAAAGATGTTATCAACAACATTCCGTACATTCGTTATTATTCTCAATTGAATATTTTATATAAAAATGTACCGCGATGCAAAGATAGATTCGTCAGATCCTTTCAACAGCTTTCAATATTGACAAGTGGCAGACTTATTAATAGGGGTTAGCTATAATCCCAGTTTTCGCCGATTCGCGGAATGGCACCAGGTAATCCGGAATGTAGGCGGCTCACATGAACCCTATGAATTGACTTTGAAAAGCTGCAGGAATAAAAAAAAAATAGTTCTACCAATTCTATGACCTTTATAAAATGTGTAAATTGGTTAACACTAAAGCGTACATTCGATGAATATTTAAATAGTTTACCATACAGTAGACTAATTTGAACTTTTATTTTATACTTTCAATTAAATTTATTTAGAATGTCAACAACATTTGTAGTTCACTGCAATAAAAGCTGTTAACCACATTTAATGTTTTTTAGCGACAGGGCTAAATATATATACTATAGCAATATTCCAGGCTTAAAACTGAGTTTTAAAATCCTCTTTTCTGCATCTGATTCGGTTCATGATGACGGGGACCTTCATGTACATTGCATTAAGAAAACGTTTGCCAGGACATTTTGTCGTTTTGCAAGGAAATTAATATTGGCATCGAAACAACTCCATAGGACAGCGGCATTGGCCTACGGTTTTCAACTGTTGATCACCTTGCACAGGCAAAGTTTTATCATTCCATGAGAACAACAAGACGCCTTTTCCACACCAGTCTCTCTTACCTGCATCACTGAAAGGGAAAATGGGTTGAAACAGCCATCATTTCGACCTATGCCTGGCTCGAAACCTGAACCGTTAGGAAATGGAAATTATTTTTTGACGTTTAGAAATTACCGCTACCGAATTGCAGTATATTAATATAAGGATCAACATTGCAGTAGTGTAATGTAAATGTCATTTGAGTGATATACCAGTTTCCGGTATATTAATGTAAAGAAATCACTCGCTAGTTTAATATCATTGTGAAGGTAATAAAGAGTAATCATAAAGATAGTAGACCGGTGACCTTTAATATCTATCAATTATAGATGTAGATGCTCTTTATATATGCATACTCCGATGATACTTGGTTCACAATTACAGTGGACGAAAGTTTGCTAACCAAACCAATAATATTTCATATCGAGTGTCTCCTATGCAGGGACTCTATTACATTCACACACTTTTATTCAGTCAAAATTGGTGAAATAAGGCCTGAAAATAAAAAATAGTAGTAAAGACTGGGATATCAAATCCGATATTCTAGATTTCAAATCAATTCTTTATTTTAAGCACTACCATTATTTCTTTGAACTTTCAAATTTAAAAATCATAGAGATCGATTCCATCAGCATACAAATAACAGCAGTATGTGTGATATGAATAAGGTTAGGTGAAAGGTTTTATTATCAATGATATCTGAAACAAAAGAATTAAGAAAACTTGCGTATTTCGTGAAGCTGAACTTGGCTTAAAGATACAACAATGATATGATTAGTAAGATATATTGTGATTAAATAATCAATGTTGATTAGAAGATAGGGAAATATCATGATGTATAATATGGAGATTAATAGTTCATAACCCATATAGATATTACTCTACCTCGCTGTATAACACTCTACTGATTCCATGCCACGCTCTGACTTCCCGTACACGGATTCCCAGTCACGATATTGGATTTAGTAATGATGAAGATGACCGATTTCTTAATCATATTAATAGGTCAACAAATATAGGTAACATGAAATAAAGCGATGGACTCTACTTTAAGCAAGAATTCTCTATTTTTTCTGACCATTTTTTTCTGAATTGGTAGGAAGAGAACCTTACAGATAAGTTTCCTTATTTTTTAGTGTCAAATTAAGCAAACTATTTGATTAATTGGTGTTTCTAATGAATTATCATGTATTCTTAATCATATCGTTAAGTTCTTATGGCATATAATTAAGAGTTTAACCAATCATAAATGTCCATGTATGTACAGTCTGGATAAACAAAAAAAGACTTTTTGACCTTTCTTGATGGGTCACTCATTGGAATTATGCTGGTAATTCTCTTCTAATTTAGCTAATTATGAATTAATTATGGACATGTGAGACAAACTGGTATTTTTCCAAGTCATTAGAACACCTCTACTTTCTATTCATATAAGTAGTAGCATTTCATTTTCATAAATGAAAATAAGGGAACCATCCTTAAGAGTTTTAGTATTAAACGTACATAGCTTAACTCAATGACACTGTATGGTAATTTGCAATATTCGATAATATTAAATCGATATATATGTTTGAGTCAATTTTGAAATTCTTTAAAAGTAATAAAAGACCAAATGTTACCATTTGTATAAATATACATGTAAATACTAAATATACTTAAAATTGATATGCAATGGTTACACGAGCAGATAATCGCACCAATTTTGGTATATCCTTAATATTTAAGCGGTTTATTCTTGAAATATGATAAGCTCATCATTACAAAAAATAAATTTATCATAGAAATACACAAGAAGCAGTTAATCACAGATATATACAAGGAGAAGTTTCATACTGAAATACAAACAGTAGTTTATCACTGAAATACAAACAGTAGTTTATCACTGAAGTACAAACAGCAGTTTATCATTGAAATACAAACAGTAGTTTATCACTGAAATACAAACAAGAGTTTATCATTGAAATACACACAAAAGTTTCAACTGAAATCCAAACAGCAGTTTCAAACTGAAATACAAGCAGCAGTTTCACAATGAAATGCAAACAGATGTTTCACATTGAAATACAAACAGGACTTTATCATTGAAGTACAAACAAAAATTTGAAACTGAAATACAAACAGCAGTTTCACAATGAAATACAAACAGCTGTTTCACACTGAAATACAAACAGCAGTTTATCATTGAAGTACAAACAACAGTTTGAAACTGAGATACAAACAGCAGTTTCACACTGAAATACAAACAGAAATTTCACACTTTAATACAAACAGCAGTTTATCAATGAAATACAAACAGCAGTTTATCACTGAAATACAAACAGCTGTTTCACACTGAAATACAAACAGCAGTTTATCAATGAAATACAAACAGCTGTTTCACATTGAAATACAAACAGCACTTTATCATGAAATGCAAACAGTAGTTTATCACTGAAATGCAAACAGTAGTTTATCAGTGAAATACAAACAGTAGTTTATCACTGAAATACAAACAGTAGTTTATCACTGAAATACAAACAGTAGTTTATCACTAAAATCACACGGAAATACAAACAACAGTATCACACTGAAATACAAGCAACAGTTTATCAATAAAATACAAACAGCTGTTTCACATTGAAATACAAACAGCACTTTATCATGAAATACAAACAGTAGTTTATCGCTGAAATACAAACAGTAGTTTATCACTGAAATACAAACAGTAGTTTATCACTGAAATACAAACAGCAGTTTATCACTGA